GGGTGCTAAGCTTTATGAGGATAAAGCATTTGAATGCAATAAATGCAATGTTCAAAAATTTAATTTTTCCTCCGAGTCCCACTGTGCAACGCTTTCTTTTTGATTGTTCATGCTTCCGAAAGAGAAAAGGAGTTTGCTGTATTTTGAAATGAATTCGATGTGCGGCATTCAGAAAAGCTTGCTGTCAAGGAAAAATCCAATGTACTTCACCCTATTAGAGAGCGTTAGGGCAAATCCACCTATCGTGGGCGATTGAAAAATCGAGATTTTATGTCTCCTTATGAAAATAACGCACTATGTCTTAGTAGAGTTTACGCTTTAGACAAAAGAAGCACCTCAGTTTTCGACAAAGTTTAGGTATCCCTGTACAAGTTTATACGGAGTGAGTTGATGACGTTTAACTTGCCAAGAATTGTTCCAACCTATCAGCTATGATTCAGCTGTTCGCTTGGCTAATCACCCGCATGTACTCGTGCATATTTATTTATTATATCTAATGCGAATTATCTAAGTGAGGGTTTAAGGTAACAGATATCAGGAGGAGTTTCTTCCGTTAGTCCCCCTCCAACTTTACAGGTATATTAATGTTAGACGTCCAAGTATGACCGTATTGCGATACCAGCGAAAATTTAATCAATAGTAAAGGTGTTTTGTATGTATATGTGCCCGGTGTTTAAATACCTTTAAAGTATTAAAAAATGTTTTGGGAAAACTCTACCATAAAAACTGGGAAATGTGTACCTATATTTTTTAAAGTTAAATTTTATAAACATTTTTCTTCAATTTCTTTGCAACTTTTGTCTGTACTTTTGGCATTTTCTGAATCTATTCAATAATTACCTAATCTTCACCAAATTAGTTTCTATATTAATTTTTTTACAACGTCCTATCAATAATGCATTGGCTAACATACTTATCAACTGACATACATACATTTGTGTTCACATTGAACCACATTCCTAATTAAGTATCTTATTTTACACAATAAAACTACATACTTATCAAGTTCTTTACTGCGCCTGCTCCGCATTCGAATTCATAAGCCGTCAGGAAGTCAGCTGTCAGCTGTCAGCTGTCAGCTGTCATCTCCGTTACTCCACTCTTATATGCCAGTAGCATTTTCGGTTTAAATTTTTTCACCTTCGTTGATGACTCTGCTCTCACTCCTGTCACTTTGCGTTAGCGCGCATATTTATTGGAATGGCGCATATTGGCGCTGAAACATCGATTGTCACCACAAGTCAAATTTACGCGTGGACGATGACGGTGCTACGTAAGATGCCGTATTCGAGCGCACTTTGCTCCTACAGCCATTGGCCTGCAGCGCGCTGATACCACTGTTGTCGCGCGCCTTTGTTACTTGCTTTCCCGCCTTAGCCCCTATCACTGCGCCGGTAATTTTTTCTTCAACGTCCGTGCCACCCAACCGCAAACTCGCTGTCTCATGTACTGCCGCATCTGCATCATTGCCATTATTTCGCTTGCCCGCCGACGTCATCGCCAACAGCTCCATCGGCAACATGTCACAATGTTGTGAATCATTTACGCTACTACAGCCAGTCATTTGACCACATTCTGCCGCCATTTCCACATAGAAAGCATCATCTGCCGCCTCTAATATGCCCGCCGTGGATGAGGAATGTGTGCTGCTCAGGCTGCTGCTGCTGTTGCGCGATGCCTCGCCACTGCCGCCGCTGGCACTACTGCCCGTGCTGTCATTGCGCCGCGGCGCTGTAGTGCTCCTTGCATATGGTCTAACATCATAATAGCTGCGCGTCACGCGTGCTGCTACCTCGAGCTCCACAGCTGAAGTCTTTTGCAACTCGCGCACATGCAAATTGTGTAGCGGCGAGCTGTAGGGCGCGCGTGACCGCGTGCCGTGATGCCAGCGCGGCGGTTGTTGCGTACACTGCTGCTGCTGCTGCTCACCGCCGCCATTGTTGTGGTAATGCAAAAAGCTGTGCACATCATCGTCTGCGGTGGCATTAAATTGTCGCTGATGATGCGGTCGCTGCTGATGGGCGAGCAAATGGCGCCTCCATGGCAACACATCACAGCGATAGACATGCATTAGGCCGACCAGAAGTACAGCGAGTAGCGAGAAAGAGAGTAAAATTACTACGCCTGGATGCGCTGTACCCGTTCCGATTTTGCGCGCGTCCAACCATTTTTGCGTTTGCATGTGCGCAGCAGCGCGCTCCTGCCCGTGCATTGGCTCGTGCAGCTGTGACTGTGTTGGCGTGCGGCTCTGCATGCTGATCGAGAGTTGAGCTGTGGGCGCATCGAGTTTTTCCTGCGCTGCTGACTGTTCACCAAACTGTACACTTTGCATTGCGGCTAGCAAGCCCAAGCGACTATCTCTTATAACGGGCGTATTCACAGTGCTGTGCTTTTGTTGTGGCATATTGTGGGACAACTCCGTTTGCTCATTGATGCTGTTCCAGGTCTGTGCGCTGTTATCCTCAAACAAGTCGCTTTCCGCATTCATAAGTTTGCCTACAAATCCGTGGACGCCACCCGCAACCGCTTCACCACTGCGCTCACGTAACACCGACTCGTTTTCGCGTGGCGTGTTAAGCGAGTAATGCTGTTGCAACGGTGCTTGCGTGTGGGGCGCGTGCTTTGTCTGTATAGTCATTTTCTTCATAATCAATGTGGGCTTGTTGTGCCTTCCTCCGACGCCAGCACCTGCGATATCGTCATATTTTTTTGGCAGCACTCGGCGCTCTGTAGCGTACACCTTGTGCGCTCCGCTTGCTGTAACTTTATGTTGTTCCATGTTTATGTTGTCCGTTGTGGTTGCAGTGGCTGCAGTGGTTATGGCGCCCATTACTGTTGTTTTTGTGGCTACCACTTTTTCTGCCAACATTTGCTTATCTGCATGTCTATCGTATTGCTTCACCGGGCGTTGTTGGTCCTCGCTGCCAATTTCTTGTACTGGCGTCACATTTGTCTCAACGTTTATTGCTTCCGCTTGCGAGCGTTCCGTGTTAGAGAAGTTATTGCTATTTGCAGTTCTTGTAATCAACTGCAGCAGATTCGCTTTCGTTTCCTTCTCCCTTGAAAGGTTGACGTTCGCTTGATGCTCAGCTTCCATTAGTTGGCTTGTGGCCAAAGCTTTGTCGTTCATTGTACGCTGCTG